GTATTTTCAAAAACTGCAATAACGGTATATTATTATTTATATATTTGAACTTAAGTTTAAAATTTTACTACTCATTGAAAAATAACCCTGTATAACCTATCTATTCTGCATAGCAACAGAGAGAGGAGGACGAATTGTTCGGTGCGAAGTACTTCATTTGACGCCGCGACATTTAGGGCGTTATGACCATGGACATTTAATAAACATTATACAAGTCTGGTACAGATGAGACAGACGATTAAGCGCGCGCCCATCTAGGTGGTCGCCGTTATCACCGCTATATCTCTTGTAACGAGATAGCGAACAATTAATTATATCGCTTTGTTTATCTCTGCGATGTATTAACTAACAGAGTCGAAAGAGTTGTAAGGAGTTTGATAAGTAAATATTTATAGCTTGCGATGAATAAGGGACTGATTGTGTTTCGGCTCATGATGCTTTTAAATTAGTCACAAGAATATACTAAGTAGTTGACGTCATCTATATTAACTTATAAATAAAATTGAAATGTCTGAATGTAACATTTGAATAACAAGCTTCTTTTAAACTCTAGTAAGTTTTCTACGTGGTAGAGCCATGCTGCAGCTATATTATGGTTGTAGCACGAATGGGTCGGCTCGAACGGGGAAGGACCACGCTCTCACAGAAAACCAGCGTAAAATAGCAGCTTAACGCTGCTGTGTTTCGTATGGTGAGTGTAGAGAACCGGAGACCCTTTTTACTGGCAAAGAGGCATTCCATCTTAGTCCTCACGGGCGACAACGCATCTGCATCTTGAGTCTTTATTGAGGATAGATGTAGATGTCTATGGGTCACAGTAACCACTTACCATCAGGTGGACTGTGTGCACGTTTGTCACCCGATCCTATAAAAAAAGGGGTTATTTGCATGTTAGTAAGACATAATCAACAATTTTTTTTGGCTGTCTTTCTGAGCTGACAACGAGACATGGAATGCCTGAATAACGAGGCCTGGAATGCCTGAATATCTTACACTCACCATACGAAACACAGCAGTGTTAAGCTGCTATTTAACGCTGGTATTCTGTGAGAACGTGGTCCTTCCCCGGTCGAGCCAACCCATTCATGCTACAACTATACTACTAATATAGCTGCAGCATGGCTCTACCACGTTCAAAAATCTATCAAATCTGATATAACGGCGGGTACCGTCTAGAATATGATCACAAACTGTAGATTTCCCGAAACGTTAGTGTTTCAAGCCAGCTATATGTTCTTTTACGCGGTTTTTCGTTGATCTTTTTGTTTGCCCTATATAAGAGAGACCATATTCACAATCTAGCTTGTACACTACACCTCCATCTTGTAGAGGGATATTATACTTAACGGATGGTAAGAACTGACTAATCTTCTTCGGCGGCCTGTAGACTGTTCTGTCATTTATTTTATTACATATTCTTTAGATCAGGGATTCCCAAAGTGTTCCATATCGCCCCATGGGATTGAAATCGGTTCCCCAGGGGTCGAAATAAACGAAAACTGATTTTGGGGGTCGACGAGGTCTAAAAATTTACCCTACACAAGTTCTTATTTGAAACTTTCAAGATACCTTATAAGTTGTATTACGTGTACCATCTTATAAGAATGACTAATATTTTAGTAAGAAGTATCATTGTTGTAATTTTAAAAAACTCAATAAGACAATAAGCGTGCACAAGTTCGCACAAGACGAAAAACTCGGCAAATCAAAAAGCGCGTTCAAGTTCATGCAAGATAATGTGTTAGGGAGTACAAGTTTATCAGGCACGTTTTGACTTGCTTTGTATTTGACGCATTTGCGCGATTTAACACGAACGAAATCATGATCAACTTCAAGTCCAATAACTATTTGAATTTTTTTGTCATTATATATTTTTGTTAATTTTATGTCTATTTATTTTGTTAAATTTTGATGAGAAAGTGATGCCAAGTTTACTCACTTGACCTTACATCTTGAGTATCAATAGGGAAAAAAACTAGAGATAGTATTTTTAAAGTAATTTAGCTATGGAGGTCTGAGATATCAGTTCATTTTGGAAAAGGGGTCTCTTGCCACAATAGTTTGGGAATCCCTGCTTTAGATAATTCGCGCCCTATAAGTGGAGAAACGGAGAATATAGTTTTTAAGGTAACTATGTATATAAACTTTCTAGATTTTAGTTTCTGATATTCCTTAATCCACTGAAAATGGTCAAAAAATTAAACTTTTAATAAAATTTAAAGGCTGACTTCAAAGAAACAAAAAGACTAAAATAATTTTCGATAAACTATGTCTCAGCACCAATGAAACCTACTTCAAACAAAGAAGACTAATGAATTGTCACCTCTGAGGATTGAGGTGAAATTTTTCAAAAATTCCACAGGCTTGTATAATTATAAAATTATTTTTTATATCACTCTGAAGTCTGAGCCTTTCACGAGCCCGTGTACACTGTACATGCATATTGAATTACTGCAACGTGGTGGCGTATAAGATGAGATGTTACTTTTTATAGTTGTAATTCATATTCTAATTTCTATTTCACATTTTTATAGAAAATTAAATGCGTGCTTTATGTTATATCGGGAAGACAAGATAGCAAGCGTCTTTTCTGCCGACTTCCAAAAAGGAGACGGTACTCAATTCGACTGTATGTTTTTTTTTATGTGTGTTACCTCATAACTTTGTACTGGGCGAACCGATTTCGATGATTCTTTTTTATATGAAAGCTGATAGTTCTCGTGTGGTCCCATATGAATTTGATCAAGGTTAGACCAATGGTTATTGAGTTATTCTTAAATAACCTATATTGAAGTCGCTTATATTGTAGTCGGCTGTTCAAAATTTTTAATTTTAAATTATTACTTCCTCAAGCGGTGCACCGCATATAACCTATGTATCTCGTTATATCTTATAAGGGCGGGAATGTTTGCTTTATTGACAACAAACAATATTTTTGTTGATTCTTAAGTGAAGTGTAACTGACTACTGTTACTTGATCATACATATTATTTTGACTAATATATTGATGCCATTGAATCGTTAACAAAATACAAATTAGTAATAACCACAAAAACATGAATATTCTGCCAAAACAGTTCGATATATTTCATAAGGTCAATTGAAGGTAAATTGATTGTCCCGTATAAGGGAATTAAAGTGTATCAAAGATACCTATGAACGAATGCGAATAATATAGATTTATTTATATTTTTACGCAAAATATTTTTAATTTAAATAGTTATTTCTTACTTTTCATATTATAAAGTATGTTTGAATTATTACATAACTCTCGGGAATTTATTTACTTTTAATCAAACTTAGATCTAAATATTTAGCGAAGAAAAGATGATAGGAGAAACGTTGTAGTGATAATGATGTAGATTAACAAAAAACAAAAATCAATAATTCAACACATTATAGGTACGCTCTCTAATTGCCAAAAGAACGAGTCTATTTTAGCGGAGTAGATGACGATGTCAAGCAAGAACCGAATGCTTGGCACGTTTTTAATATTCATATTGATTAAAAATGTCACCTTGAAAATAAGAAATGACTGAGTTTTTTTTTCTTTTTATCACAATCGATAGTTTCTCTTTCTCCTTATCCGAACGTTAATACTCCACTTTTAGACATGAGCTTCTCCTTAGAAGTAACCTCATCTTTGTGAGGTGTATTGGTGATCATTAGTTTCCGAAGCTGATGGGTATATTACATGTAATATTTTTTTACAGAGTGAGGTTGACAAACGAGCATACAGCCCATCTGATGGTAAGTGGATGCTGTGGCCCACGAAAATCTAAAATCCTCAATTAAGAATCAAAATGCAGATACGTTGTCACTCCTTAGAACTGAGATGAAATGCCGCGTTTCCAGTAAAAAGGTTCTCCGGTTCTCTACACTCTCCCTCACTCTACTACACTCTACATCTACACTCACCATACGAAACACAGCAGCATTAAGTTGCTATTTTACGCTGGTATTCTGTGAGAACGTGGCCTTACCCCGGTCGAGCCCACCGATTGTTTTATTGTGAACACAATAAAATATGTTCTCAATTAGCGAGTAACTTTTTATGGGTGTAAGTGTTGATTTTTTACAAAATTGACTTAAAAAGTATTTCTTAACGTTACATTGTTGATTTTTACTTTAAAATAAATAAATATATTGCTACATAACTATTACAATTACTGTTTTTCATTAACATACATTACCTCTCTGTATATGTATAAAAAATATACCAGATTTCAGTATACAATAAAAAAATAACATGTCTAAATAAATTTCGGTTTCGGTTTCGGCCGAAACTGACACCCAGACCGAAGTGTTCCTTTTTGGTTTTGGTTGAAAATCTTGTTTCGGTCGGACACTAATAAATACCCTAAATAGTTAATAAATAGTAATAACATAATAGTTGTGGTAGCTCTTAGCCTAAGCAGTCGCGTGCAAAGTAAACTTCGTTTGGTCCTCATCGACCCCAATGTAATTTTAATTGCAATTTTAAGTGCTGATTTACCGCATGTTCGGAAAACGTTGAAGGAAAACATCTTGAGAAAACTTGCATGTCTGCGAAATAAATATTTCGAGGACACGTGAATCCGCCAATACGTACTGGAGCAACGCGATAGCCTAACTACACCGTAACCGTCTCATAAATAAGGAAGCCTGTGCCCAGCAGTGAGACGTATAAACGATTAATTTACAGTCCTATACCCACTTCTTTTCGGCAGCCTCGCGCCGGTAGGCGAAATGTAGGTAAACCCCCACGAGATGGAGTGACAACCCGGCAAAACATACTTTGTGGCACTCCTTGGGGGAGGTCTCTCTTCAGCAGTGGACTTGTGAAGGGCTGTAATGATGAGGAATGACGACCTGCTACTTTTAAAAACTTAATACGAGCTGCTTACACCGCCATCTATCGGTAGGCTCTAGTCCAGCTGATAACTTCCAAAATTTTAAGGAAAATCTGCTAATAGAACATCATCATCAAGTGACTTATCTTGTATTTCTTTTTTTTTCAGATCAGTAGCATTCTAATAGATTATTGTTACATCGTCGTCCACCGTCGCGAGCAGTTCCGTCCCGATGGGTTGAGTACGCCGACACTTTGTGTTTGTGGTTACACCACTGACGTTGTAAGTACACTGTTTGATTGTTAAAAAAAATATTAATAATAATAATAATAATCATTTATTTCCAATCACAATGGTACATTAAATAAAACATGCTTAGTTTATTGTGTAATTTCTATGAAATACTTATTTCAACATTTGACCATTGTGAAAGAGCGGAACCTGTACTAGGATACAATGTGTTACAGTGTTCCAAAAAAAAAATGAAAAACATTACTGATGAGAATAATACGGGGGTACTAAAAGGCAAGGTACTTGTATTGAATTAGGTACACTTTGAGTACATACGCGGTGCAGTGTAATGGCGGTGAGATTAAACCAAATTTCGTCTCATGATATGTGTGACTATGTGAAATACCAGCAAGATAAGAGCCAAGCGTAAAACACTGTGACAGCGACAGGGAACGACAGGAAGTAACGTCAAGGTGCAAAACAGCTTTTACTGCAATCGTCAAACCGACTGCCAGGCGTGATAATAAGAGAATTTGTATGGAGGGTTTACTCCATACAACGGGAGAGGCCCAATTCTAGCAATGGACTTACGCGTTGATGTATACAAGATGAAGAAGTATCAATCAAAGTTACCTCTATTCTATCTGTGATTTTTTTATAGGATAGGGGTGACAAACGAGCACATAGTCCACCTGATGGTAAGTGGTTGCTGTGGCCCATAGACATCTACATTTATCCTCGTTTGCGAATCAAAATGCAGATGCGTTGTCACCCGTGAGGACTAAGATGGAATGCCTCTTTTCCAGTAAAATGGGTCTCCGGTTCTCTACACTCACCATACGAAACACATCTGTGTTAATATAAAAGCTTTTACAAAAATTTACTTCGCAAATATCCGCGTTATAAAATAAAATGATGTGTCTTACCTAGTATGAAGAAGCACCTCCCGCCCTCCCTCAATTGCGTGCACTAACCCCGTCACCACTAATCCCAGCACCGCTACTCCCAACACCACTACACTAGGCAAGACACACCACTGACGATAATTGAAATGGTGTGTCTTGCCTAGTGTAGTGGTGTTGGGAGTAGCGGTGCTGGGATTAGTGGTGACGGGGTTAGTGCACGCAATTGAGGGAGGGCGGGAGGTGCTTCTTCATACTAGGTAAGACACATCATTTTATTTTATAACGCGGATATTTGCGAAGTAAATTTTTGTAAAAGCTTTTATATAATGGATTTCCGCAAAGTAACGCCTGATTCTATTAATCATCTGTGTTAAGCTGTTATTTTACGCTGGTATTCTGTGAGAGCGTGGTCCTTAACCGGTCGAGCTGACCCATTCGTGCTACAACTATACTGCTAATATAGCTGCAGCATGGCTCTACCACATATAAAATTAATTGTTTAATTACTTCACTGGAATAAATTTTATTTGTAACTATTAATTTACCACATGCTCGAAGGCGTAGAACCTAGAAGTAGGATGTTACAGGCTGATTACAATGATATAAGTAATGAAGTGTGATTACTATTGAGTGGTGATTACTATCCTCCGCTCACCAGATGTCGCTAGTTGACACTGAGATGAAGTTTTTGTTACACAATGTCATTTAATTGAGAAGTTAAATAGAAATTTATCAGTTTATAGAGTTTTATTTGACCTATATACATACTGTTTAACTACACATATTGTTTTATGTAACTCAGTGGTTTGGTATTAATTTTTTGCATATATTTTTAACACATTTTTTTTAATGTTTCTACTTTTACGGATGACTGTGGTTTAGTTCATTTATTTTTATTCTATTTAATATAAAATATAACTAATAGTACAGAAAGAAACGTTAACCTTTACATTTTTCGAAGCAATTAACTTCCCCGCCCCGCTATGAAATGTGAAATAGTACACGTCATTCTTAAGTGGTGCCTCTCTGATGGCAGAAATAGTCGTGGATTGAATGAGGGCTCGTTAAATAATCGGTCAATATAAACTTACGTTTTAACTAAACTTGACGCGTAACTCCTTCCTGTTGTAAAGTTACTTTTAAAAAATTATTAATATTTAAAAAAAAATTAATGTCCCTGTACTAGGTACCCATGCTTTATTATGTCCACCGCACTATTTCAGGAGTGTCGTAACCTAACAAAAACCTAAGATTTGCTTGACATATATTTTATTTCTCGGAAAATGTAGGATCACGCGGTTTTCTTTCATCTCCGAGCAAATATTTGAATTTTATTTTATGAAAAATATTTCTTTCTTACACATAAGTAATATACAAATTACAATAATTATACTTTAAAATATGTATGTATCAAGAATTTTTTATTGTTTTGTCCGTGGATTAAATTGTTAAAAATGGTCATAATCTCGGTTGCAATAAGATTGACAAGTCATTTTTTCAATATACAAAACTGAAGTGACAAATGAACTTCTTAAAGTCCCGGGTGGAATATAAGTTCGTACCTGCACTTCCAAACAAAGGCTACAAATGCGTTGTCACCTCTGAGGAAGATGGAATACCTTAGAACCTTATATTATTCCACAGTATATTCCGATGAATTTATGCAGTACAGATATAATACAAAGTCAATATAAATACTCTATGGATATAAAATATAAAAAAAATTGCGATTGTAAAATATAAAAGTGTTTCCCGTTAGTTATTCTATTCTTAATTTAAATGTGTAATTATTATTAATTCAAATTATTGCAAACAACAGCAACGAAAGAGACGTTGAAACTTACGAGCGTAGACTTTCAGTGCGGGTAGATTTCATCAAAATCGTAAAAGTCCAGTGCTGGACTTGGGCCTCTCTTGTTTTAGTATGGGTTTGCCTTATTCGTCACTCTTGGCAGGCGGATCATCGATTCGCAGTTCCAGACGTCTCGACCTTTAAAGCTAATTTCCGTCGCCGTTCTTAGTATATTATATTTATGTGGTGGCAGAGGGAAATTAAAACGGAAGATGAGCAGCAAAATATTTCTGATAATAACTCAAAATAATAAAAAACTGTGGTTGCCAACCCGCCTGCCAAGCGTAGTTACTATGGCAAAATCCTCCCTATGGGAAAATCTATGAGTCCTATGTTCAGCAGTGGTCTTTTATAAGCTGTTAAGGAATTGACTAGTTAATCCATTGACTAAAATATTGACTCTTTGTCATTCGTTAGTTATTATTGGTCTCCAACCTGTTTAGAAATAATAATGGATTCTTTTCACTTAAATTTAAAAACATTGTGTTATTTTGCCTAATAAAAGTTCCGCTGCTTGACATGGGTCTTTTCTGTATTTGTACAGATTTGGCACATTGGCGATTACAGTACTAGACATCTCGCACTTAGACTCTACTCCCGTCGCCAGTCTAGGTTATCTTAAATACGGTATTTCATACGTTAAATACAAAAAATAACAATGAATTATATTTTTCTTTCAATTGTGTCTAGAAAACCAAAGTGTAGCCAGGTAGATGCATACCGACATTCCTTCACTGCAGTTTTATTTATTGTTCTGTTTTATTTTGAACAAACAATCAAATATTTCGTTCGCAACTTTACTACATTAGTAACGTTTTTAAAATTATGTAAAAAAATGATGTTGTTAAATCGTGTCTTTTTAAGATGTCACTATGTGATATAATGTCGTTCTAATTCTTTAAAAAGTAAAGGAAATTCAATCTTGTTGACCTACACACGTCTGTCCATTTACGAGTCTGGTCGTGTTTTTTAGGGTTCTGTACTTCAAAAGGGAAAAACGGAACACTTTTCGGATTACTTTGTTGTCCGTCCATTTGTCTGTCAAGAGAAGACTTTACTCAGAAACCGGTCGAGGAACCAGTTAAAATTAATATCTAATACTAAGGTTTACAGTATCTTCCCATCAATTCAATCAAAAGATACGACTATTTATGTCACATATCTTTATACTTACAAACTGATTTTATCAAAACCTATAAGGTATTTCTTATTGACCTAGAATCATGAAATTTGGCAAGAATTAAGTTCTTCTCACAGCACGAGTAAAGAAAAAATCCGAAAATCGTTATTTACCATAAAATATACATAAGTATATAAGACGTAGCGTGGCGCAGTGGCGCAGTGGCTTAGCAATCAGTTGTTACGCTGGGGGCCGCGACTTCGAATCCCACACGGAACAAGTATTTGTATGGCCTACAAATAATTGTTCCGGGTCTGGATATTTGTCCTTGTGCAATTTATGTTTGTAAATTGCCTCCACGACACAGGAGAAAATCCTAGTGTGGGGGTAACGTTTAAAGAATAACAAAAAAGAATAATAACAATATAATTTTTGCGATTACAAACTTACATCAATAGACCACCGTGAAGTAAACCGATGTATGGGAGACCGTTATCAACCACTGTAAAGTTAAGTTTGCAATTCACATACCTAGAATTACAATTCGACTTACTTTATCGTTAGAGCAATGCTCAACTTACATACAAATCCCGGCATGGATGAGAAATCTACGTACATTTAATTAAGTTTATACGGAACCCTCAGGGCGCAGGTAGTACTCGCACTTGCCTGTTTCTTCTTTAAATATAATTCATCCATTGATCTCTGCTCGCTATGTTTTGACCTGTTTCGTTTCGACCCTTAGTTGTCCTACCAACCGGATATTCTCGTCTGCTCTGGACGAATTGTCTCGGCATATAGAATAAGTCCTTATTATTTAAAAACTGCGTTTTAAATCTGCTCTTTAAATCGTTTCTATGTAAATAACTTAATATAAAATACGAGTGCATTATTCGTGGCCCTGTTTAGATTGAGGAATCAAATAATTAAGTACCTAATATCAATTAAGAATAAGCAGCTAGGTGTTTTCTGAGAGTTATATACCTTTGTTTTTCCTTGATAAGGTGATAGTGGTTAATGCATGTCACGAGTACAGTGTATCTACCATTATTTTTCATGCGATGTGTTGGTACAAGTAAATAATGTGTGCGTGATTTCGTGATAAAAATAAACTGGAGTAGTGTTTTAAATATAAATTATAATCTACTTAGTATATCATGATTTTGGTGACGTT